AGCATTTGCAGGGAGAGGCTGCCAAAATGGCTGGGCCAGCCCTCCACGTGTGCAGCTGCTGCCTTCTCCCAGCATCTGCTCACAGCCCCCCCCCGCCAAAAAAAAAAAAAACAACTGGCTTTGCATAACGTAACTCGGAGCACAACTTCATAGGACACCCATTTTTCTCAAAGACTCTCCCATCGCCCACCCAGCGCACTGGTGCCAGGCCAACGTGGGGCTGGAGGAGGCAGGAGATGCAGAACGTGGGGCTGGACCCACAGATGCTTCGGGTTGTGCGCACAGGGGCATCACTGGTTTAAACCATCTCCAGCCACAGAGAAGATGGGACCGCCACGGATGGGGTGGAGGAGGGCAGCAGAGCCCTGCAGGAGGATTTTGGATTTCCAAGAGGAAACGCATCAGCTGTGAGAGGTCTCCCCATCAAGCCCTGGTACATGGAGAGCACTCAGAGCAAGTCATCCCCAAATACTTCAGAAATCAGAGGCTCCACCCCAAAGAGGACTCATTAACGTTCGCAGCCATCCAACCATTAAATCACAGCATTACTCAGGAGAGCTTTCCCATACACCGTATCCCCTCTGCGCCACAGAGGATGGGTCGGTGACCCCTTCCCCACACGCAGAGGTGCCCTGCACCCCCCAGCTCCTCAAATCCACGTGTGTTGGGGGGTCCTCTCCCCCCTCCCAACCCTGCAGCATATGGGGACGCCAGCTTTCACTGACGCCACGACAAAAAGCAGAGTCTGTTGGGAGCTCCGCGGCACACAAAGTGTGCACACCAAGACAGAAAGGCAGTTCTTCTCATCCAGAAACTCAGCACAAATACAGCATGAGAAAAACACCAAACTTGGAAGATCGCTTTATTAATGTAGTAGGCTGCTACCAGATGGAGCGGGGAGGGATGCCAAGAACAGATCACTGGCTCCTTGTGAAGCTCAGAGCCGCTCGCTAACTTTTTCCAAGCAAGGAGTTAGCCCAGAGGTACTGGGCCGCTTGCTCCGCAGGGAAAGGCAAGGATTTTAACGGTGAGAAATCTGCCGGGGAGGTTCTTGGGCTCATCACCAGGAATTAAAGGTTTTACAGCTCCCGTGCCGTACTAAGGCAAGGTGCTGGGGCTAGGTAAGGCGGGCAAGGCAGTGGCCGAGCCGCTTGCCCTGACTCAGCGAAGAGGAATGTCAGCCCTGAGATCCCCGATTTCCAGGGACACATCCCACGGGACACATCGGCACGCCACCGCCGCGCCGGGTGTGGTGTCTCTGCAAAGAGCTCCTCGAGGGAAAGCTGAAGTCACGCAAGTACGGCAGATGGAGGGAGCGGGGACCCTGCCGACACACCTACCTAAGATATTTTTGGCAGGCTTGCTTAGCCTTTAGCCCCTTTTTGGGGAGGAAAAAAAGAATAAATGGCAGTTTAGGGGATGTGGAGACGCAGCAGCGCGGTGATTTCTTTCTGCTCTGGGCTGGCGGGGCAGCTACGGCGAAGGTGAGCAGAGGGTCTGGGTGGGCAGCAGCATCTCCTGCCCGCTCAGACAAAGGATGCTGCGCGTCGGGCCAGGCTGCCGCTCCTCGCAGAGGGGAGGAGGGACTGTGGAGCAAGTAGGCCTATTGCCCCCGCCCAGCCAGGCTGGAGCAATGAGGAAAAAAAAAAAAAATAATAATAATCCAGCACTGTGGGGTGTGCAGGCAGCAGAGACAGCCCCTCCGATCAGCGCGGCGGCCAGGGATGCACATGCAGCCAGGGTTTTCCAAACAGAGTTGCATCCAGCAGGGAAAGGGCTCCGGCGCCGGCACGAGTTTAGGCAAACCCAGGGCTGCGAGGTAAAGCCGAGCCGCGGGTCTCGTCTGGATGTCCTCAAGGGAGCGGAGCAGAACAGCCCTGTGGCCAAGAGAGGCAGAAAAGGAGCCTCTCACCCCGGAC